TATATATTCTCTTTTATATTTCAAATATAATTTTCCAAATTTTCCAATTTTTGCACATTGACTTAAATATTATTTCTAGTATAATTTTAAACATTATTTAATAAGGGAAATAATTAAAAGGAATGCAACAAATATGCATCTTTTTTAATAGTAAAACGTAAATATATATCTCTTATATTTCAAATTATTTTTGCCTCCGTTTGAGAACAATGTTCAGGAAACTTGAGGAAAGATATGGAAAATATCGAGACGTGGCAAATTTTTTTTGAAAAAATACAATAAGCAATAAGCGACACTTGAAATATATATATATATATATACTATCATAAATCAAGATTTCAATTCGTCGCCTACCGGATCGAACTTACATGCGACGATAGCACCTCACTCCTCTCTTGTCACGCTCTCACGACATAGAGGCATCGAGAATTCACTATCGAAGTATGCCATCCACGATACGTTTGTTGTCACGATCGATTCTTGAAGCAGGAAACAGAGAATGCTCGTGTAATGATGCTCGTTGAACGCGAGAAAATTTACGTAAAGAGATTGGGCGCAAAGAAAGATGAAGTGCGCGGACAAGAAAAAGAATTGCTTGAGAGCAGTGATGAAAACACTTTAATTGTAATTTAAAACGCAATAATTGTAATTTAAGGGAAATAATTAAAAGGAATGCAACAAATATGCATCTTTTTTAATAGTAAAACGTAAATATATATCTCTTATATTTCAAATTATTTTTGCCTCCGTTTGAGAACAATGTTCAAGAAACTTGAGGAAAGGTATGGAAAATATCGAGACGTGGCAAATTTTTTTTGAAAAAATACAATAAGCAATAAGCGACACTTGAAATATATATTAATGCGCGTATTTTTACATCTCCGAAAACATGTTGCACACACATAGTTCTATATTATTTTTTCTCTTTTCCAATCGTTATAATTTTTTATTACATTTTTTAAAAGATTACTTTTTCTTTTAAAAAGAAATAATACTGCGTGAAATTAATACAGTCCATTTATGGACATATCGTATAACGTTTCAAATAAGAGCTTCATGGAATGAATATAATTCGTCGTTGATCTAATATTTGAAATATCCGGAAAGAGAAAGAGATCATCGTGTGCTAAATTCCGACGGAATAGAAGGATCTGCGATTCTTGGTTTGCGGAATGTTTGAAATACGCGATCTAAATCCGCGGCATTAAATCATTCTCGCGAGTAAGAGAAGCTTGTAACGCGTTCGAGCGGTTTCCTTCCGCGGAGAGCGTTTAATTCGTTACGTACGATTCAGCTGCGCAAACATTGGCTCACCCGAAAGAGAGTCCGGAATGCCGGGGATCGTTTCTTTGATATCTGCTGGTGCAAAGTAGGTCCTTAAATTCACGGCACTCGATGAAAATCCCACCGGATCGCCGACGGGTCGTCGCATAATGCCAATTTTATGTAAAACTGCAGCCACATTCAGTAGTGGTGCATTGATGTAGATTTGGTATCAAGAGTATAAACTAGCCGCTATAAATGGCCTTGCATTTACTAGATAGGTAACTTTCGAATTAATGCATTATCTAAATATATATTACATGATTGCGATTTATATTTATAGCCAAAAAAGAAGATCAAGTCATGAATGAATGAAAAGTATAATTTTTGTTAAATCAATTGTTTGAGATATTTCATATTTTTATTATATATATATATATAGCTGGTGCAAAGTAGGTCCTTAAATTCACGGCACTCGATGAAAATCCCACCGGATCGCCGACGGGTCGTCGCATAATGCCAATTTTATGTAAAACTGCAGCCACATTCAGTAGTGGTGCATTGATGTAGATTTGGTATCAAGAGTATAAACTAGCCGCTATAAATGGCCTTGCATTTACTAGATAGGTAACTTTCGAATTAATGCATTATCTAAATATATATTACATGATTGCGATTTATATTTATAGCCAAAAAAGAAGATCAAGTCATGAATGAATGAAAAGTATAATTTTTGTTAAATCAATTGTTTGAGATATTTCATATTTTTATTATATATATATATATAATTTTTTTTTTAACATAAATTAGAAAATATTCCAATGATTTCTTATATTATTCATAAATTTGCCTAACTTTGTAATCATCCATGGAAATAAAGCGTTAAGCTTTATTGGACGAGAAGCTTATCGAGCTTGTTGCAATCCCTTTGTCCTCTGACTATTTTTACTCAGCAATATACTCAGCATAGGAAATCTCGAATATTACTCGCTTGAGCCCGAAGGCGGTCTAAATCGAAAGCCAATTAAGCAGATAGCTGATCAAAGCCAAACAATAAGCGGGTCGACCTAACCTACCGAGATATTAACATAATGCCAAATCAGGAATTGTTCGCAGGATCGAGTGCAGCTGCCTCCGCAAGCTATTTACTACATCTCATATATTAACGACAGACTTCCTACATTTTCTATAATGAAATAAATTTTAGCATTATGCTGATTGCGCGCATGAAGCTATTCAAAAATAAATTACAGATTATTATATTAATTATTATATCTTACAATTATGATAATATTGCACTCTGACAACTCTAATACATATATATATTTATATACATGCTAGATATGCACAGAATGATTATAATTATGTAAGAATTATATGTACTTATTCATTAAGTATAAAATATACACGCTGAGAGAGATATGCTGACAAACTAACAATAAGTTCAACAAAAGCGAAGCGAGATAGTCGATTTAATAATAAAAAAGAAAGTTGCATTCGTGCAAATGAGTGTAAAACGCATCGTAGCGTGATAACGATTCGATCCACACGCGATATAATCGTTAAACAAATGATGGAGAAGTTTGACGGAGATTGCTTGATTCGCGGCTTATTGATAAGTTTCCACGCGATAATGAGGACAAACAGAATGACAGATGTGCGTTTATTTTTCGCAATTGTTCCGTAGCGAACAAAGGCAAGAGTTAGCTTCGTCACCGGCTTTCTCTTTCCAAAAGGGCTGTTGCCCTTCTGTCAGTCGTTTAATCGCCATGTGATCAAAGGAATTCCTTAATAAGGCCCGCACATAGCCGCAGGCTCACAAACCGCCAGCGCTTAGAAAGCAAATGCACTTTGTGTCACATGCATGTGTTACGCGCATTGATGACAGGGATTTTATAAATGAGAGAGAGAAATCTCGCATTTTTTTATTATTCATTTAAAAGCAATTTTAATCTTATTATAATTGTAAACTTTTTGAAAGAAAGTACTGTTCAATGAAAATAAAATTGGAGAATAGAAAAAAAAATACTTTTCAATCAAATAAAATATTTGTTGAAGTAAAAATAAATCGACATTAAATAAACGATGGTTTCTATTGAAATAGATGCATACATATATAGTCTTGGTTGGTTACTTATCTAATTATTTTCCATGCTGCATGTAGCATCTCAAATAATATTTGAAATAATGCGATAAATGTTATAATATATATTTAAAATGATCAATCTTTTTCGCAAGTTTTAAAATCACTTTTTAAAAATATTATTTAACAAAAGAATTTCTAAGAATTCTTTTAAAATTATTATCTCGATTAATAATTCCAATTATTGCGTTTTAAATATTTGTACCTAACATTCTTATGAAAAAAAAAATCAATTTTTAATTAATATTTTATTTAAACAAGATATTTAAATAATTATTTTTAATACAATCTGCATTTAAAATTTGCGTTATTATGCTACGTTGTTATGACTAGACGATTAAAATTCTTGGATAAATTTTTATTTTCAAGAAAAAATTCAAGTTCCGAGCTCGATTCCAGTGCACCGAGCTCTTCTTCGTGCACCAAACTGCTAGTCTCTTTCGCAAGAAATGAAAATTGTTTGAAGTTTTCGCGAATACGTTAAAATACGTTTGCGCCTTTTTCTCGAGCGACATAGCCATTTTCGCGTCAAAAAAAGTTTTTATGATAATCCAGAGAAAAAGTTCGAATAGCTCGCGAGCTTGCGGCGATCAGGTTCTTGAGCTTTCGCACGTGGAGCAACTTTTGAATTTCAATTGCCGGTATCGCACTCACGTAAAATGTATACAGACATTTTGTACTGATCACACGTTTATGCTTTCTGTTTCAGATCTCTTCAATAACCAGCTTCTGCAGGGTGAGTGTAATTTTTATTGTATCGCATGTATTGTACGTATATAACTTTTTGATGTCTCCAATCGCACGCTCGCTCTTGAGAGCGATGCGAACGTTACCGCAAAAAAAAAACAGCGCGCAAAAGAATATTGCGGTCGTTTCAATTGGATTTGCACCATTTAATTAATTACGATTTCTCTCTGTGTATTTTTTTTTTTACACAAAGCTGTTTCACACGCTTACTAATTGATATTACTTTATTTGAACAAACAACATATTTATTTTATTTTGGTCCATTTCAATTATATCCGTAACATGTATATTTCATATCATCTACAGTAATCTATATTGCAATAATTGGCAAAAAAATATAGGATTGTGATTTTGAAAGTATAAGTAAAAGAATCCGAGAAAAAGTTGGTTAAAAAAAAAAATGAATTATTCTAAACTTTATCAAAAACTTTAGTTCCGTTCTTGGTTGAATCGTTTTTTTTTCATGCCGCGTTTCATTCACCGTGTGCCTCTCAATGTACAATGTATATCCTTGTTCCTTGCTGCTAAACATTCTTCTTGAACAAGTTGCCTGCATTTTAGAGAAAAATGCCGGAACATTTTTAACAAGAATTCATCCATCCGTTTAGATTCTCCGACCACATCCCTTTATTGTTCCACTCATGTTCTTAGGGGGCACGCGGGTGATCTCGAGATCTCTATTCGAGTCTCGTCCTCCCACCTAAGCGCCGTTGTCTGGCTCACTATGTTTCCAGACGGAAGGAAAATCCCGTGTGAATTTTTTATTGAAAGTATTTCCACAAGAATGGCATACAGAAATAGGTTGATAAATGTGTTCGCATTATTTATTCTAACTCAATTCCGTTAGGAAAGTTCTAAAATACGCAAATGGTTTTTAGCTTATAAATGATGTTAGCCCTTCGAGACATATACCTGAATTTTGATAGATGAAGAATGATTTATAAATAACGAATTTTCAATTAAACTGCAAAATATTTTCTAAAACCAATTTTAATTTCATTATAATTTCAAATTATAAATGCTTCCATTGTAATAATATGTATTAAAATTTTTTTTTAATAAATAAATTTTTCTAGCTGGATTGTATAAATTACTATAAACGAGAAAAAAATAGACATATTATAAATCACGAGATTATACTAGATTGTTAAAAATAATTTTTTATTACTAAAAAATAAAAAATCAATTATCTTATACAATATTGTGAGTGGAATATCATTCCAATAAATGATGAATTTCTATAGTCTGTCTGTCTTAAAGAAATATACCGCCGATTTCAAAGAAATGACAGAAAAAGTTGCAGCTGATGCATCTAGTCTGCACTTGACTGCTTTCACAAGCGGGGAGTCGGAAAAAGATTCTGAAATGCAAATGGGCGCGAAACCGATCGATTGCATAATTTACGGCGCGGCTCGCGAGCTGAAAATACCGACGTTATCACGAGAATTTCTTATCACGTAAACGTAAATTACTTCTTTTAGTTATCGCTGACAATTTCCCATTAACCGAATGCGACCACCACGTCAAATAGCTTACCAAATAGCTCTTTCAAATAGCTTATCTTTTTAACAATTTTGTTGCGTATAATATATTTATTTCGTATGTATTTTCTACAGTGATATCATTCCGCTAAAAATTAATAATCTCATTAAAATTATAAGAATTATATATATAAATTATAAAAATTACAGATCCATAATATTATATAAAACATAAAACAGTTTTTTTCTAACTTTCTCTCAAAATATTTTCTTGAATTGTACAATTGAAACGATCAGACAAATAGATGGTTCTATATTCCGATATCAATTTGAAACGCAAAATGTAAAATACAAATATAAAAATTCATCCGATATATTATATAAAAATTTCTTTTTCGTTGAAGTTACGTCTGATGCCACATTGATGCCATACTATCGTTCTAAAAAGCAGGAATAAATCATTCATGATGCAAAAAGCAAAAGATCTCGCATTGACTCCGTCCGTCTCTTCTCTAGTGAGAGAGTATGCGCGTAGAAGTTTTCACATTTTCTGTCTTTTCACCTCGATGTTTGAATCTGAACCCCTCTTAAGGTTCTCGCGATGCTCCAGTAAATTCGATGATGACATTTCTCCCCGGTTTTCCCCAGCTTCTCGCGAATCTCTTTCCTTGTTTTTCACTCATTCCGCAGACTGGCTTTCATGGTGTCGGGTATAATTTACGATCTCGTTAAAAACGTAGAAATCATTTATTTTCGTCGTACGACATAATGTAGAAGAACGATCGGTAAACGAAACCAATAGTGAAAGGAATTTATTTCACAGCTTCCATTTTTAATAAAACGAATTGCTTTTTGTTACACGATAAAAACGTCGCACATTAAAACAAAAAAATATCAGCTGTAAAAAAATGTTAAAAATATTATATTATGCGTATTATAAATTGTTAACATTTATATCATTTAATTATCGAGAATTTCTAATTATATTATTGACTTTTAATTTTAAAAAAATGTAGAAAAAAAAGGATAATATATGTGTATGTATATAAATGTGATTAATTTTAATTTTATTATTTTAGATACAACACTCTAACAATTCTCTCTCTTTCTTATTTTTTTTTATTAAAGTCATCATGTTTAATTTGATTATTTAATTTTTAAAATCTTGACTTTTACTTATAAGTTCTTAAAACATTTTCCTTAAATTCTTGCATAACTTTATTTTATTAAATATTTAATTCATTGAATTCTTGATCTGCAAATTATATTATTACATTATTACATTACATACATTAAACAAAGAAGATTCCATCAAATGTGATTTCTATATTTTTGTATTTCTTATTTTCTAATAATAATAATATCACAAGTAAGAAAATTGTTGACTCAATTTCTCAAATTATTTATATATTATCTAATATGTTGTTATATTCACAAAAAATGATTTGTGGCATAAATTTATAAAACAATAAAAATCGTTGACGAGAACAAAATACAATGCACTCTTGCGTCACTACAGACGCATACAAATGCGCACAATACTCATCATCCATTAGCGGCTAAGTAGAGCTCGCATCTGGATGTAATAAATAGTCTACTCTCCATCCCCTTGTCACTTTGTTCAGTCCATATTCGTCAAACAAGGATCAGCATACCGTTCTGCAAGAGGGATGCTCTCGCGCGTAGGTTCCCTCCGGTGTGGATCTGCGGCCCACTTTCCCGGTTGCGCTTATTGTGTCGCCCCAAATACATTGTGCGCGCAAGCGAGGAATATTTGCTGATGCTCGGTGGTTCACGATTACCACGATGCGAGAAAAAGGACGCTATTAAAGGACCGGCTTTTCCCTCAAACCGACTTTGTACGCACCTTTTTGTTGCTGCCAATTTCAATTAAATTTCGCTTGAAGTAATAGTCTAAATAATCAACTTTAAATACTGTACGCGTATAAAATATTTGGATGCGAATATAAGATTTCCTTCCAAAATTTAATTGAAAATAGTAAGAAATCGTGTGTTATTGTTATTTCATGTGTCTATTAATAAAATATAAATAATATATTTTAAAAGCGACATTATCGCGTTAGCTCAATTTCGGAGTGAGAAAACAGTTTCGATAAATTGCTAATTCAGTTTATATATTGCGTCACTGTTATAATGTTTAAGATGTCCATTAGTATGAGTCGGCAAATCTAGATGTGGCTAATGAAGATGGAAAATTAATTAAGACAGAAAATTAATTTCTTCCCCGCGATAGCGCGATATTGCGGTGCCCCGATTCGAATCAAAGCTGCGAATTTTGATTTACCTCGGCTTAATTAAATTTCCACCTGAATTAGCAAGTCGCCAAGTGAACTAATTTACTGACATAATGATCCCTGTGCGAAATGTAAAATTTCTCAAGAGTCAATTTATATTTGAAATATTCTTTTTGCAAAGCGTATTTTATATATAGTTTATATACATGTGTTTCTATCGATTTTACAAGGAAACATCGTAATCAATAAATAATATAAAATCACAACAATTACAAGTGCATATATCGTATAATAAACATTAAATAATTGATAAAATATTGATATGAAATAAATGATTATTTTGACTAAGGGTGGTTTGCCATTTATAAATTGATCATGTAAATAATTACTTTATTAATTATATATTAATATATTATTTATTGTGCATGAAGCGCACAATAAATAATATATTAATATAAGATAATCATTTCCGTGGAATGTATATTAAGCGCACAAAGAGTGCCCAATTTAAAGTTATATAAACTCAACTGCCATTTTAAATCTCGATACTACATTAAACTAAATTTTGCCATAAGTAGATGTAATAATCTCTTTGTAATGACAGTAAGACATTTACATAACGTATCTTTACGCTCTTTATGCAAAGCGGTGTGGAATACTGGTTACTCGCAGACAGCTCCTTAATTTTATCTCGATGAGTTCAGGATCTATTTGTTCACTGAGAAACATCGGAGATAAGGCCTCGAGGATTATGAAGGAGATTGCTCAACTACGGTCCAAGGAAACGCCCTCGACAAGAGAGCTACCTAATTACGATGAGGAAAAGCGGAAGCCCCAAACAGGGCCGGTCCTATAACAACCAGAGTTTAATGCTCCACATCGTATTTCTTGGAGCTAAAGTAATTGATGAGCTAATTCTTGTTTTTCACAAAACCACTTTAATTTATATTTATATTTTATATCTTTATTTATAGCGCTATTTCTTTCTAACACATCCTTTTCTTTAACAATGGATTTTAAACCGAAAATAAGCAGATTCTATTTCTTAAAACATCGTATTTCTTGGAGTTAAATTAACTAATGAGCTAATTTTTTTCCACGAAACCGCTTTAATTTATGTTTATTTTTCATATCTTATTTTATAGCGTGCTATTTCTTTCTAACACATCCTGTTCTTTAAAAATGGATTTTTAACTAGAAATAAATAGATTCTATTTTTTAAGAATAAAGATTTTAAACCGAAAATAAACTGTATAATCTAACATTTATTAACTCCGAATTGCATGTAAAAAATTTCTAAGTTATATATTATAAAACTTTGATCTATTCGCGTCTGTTTCTCATTATTATAAGATTTAAAATATATTTGAATGTTTTAATTTTTCCTTTGGAAATTAAAGTGGAAGAGGGCCCAATTTAAAGTTATATAAACTCAACTGCCATTTTAAATCTCGATACTACATTAAACTAAATTTTGCCATAAGTAGATGTAATAATCTCTTTGTAATGACAGTAAGACATTTACATAACGTATCTTTACGCTCTTTATGCAAAGCGGTGTGGAATACTGGTTACTCGCAGACAGCTCCTTAATTTTATCTCGATGAGTTCAGGATCTATTTGTTCACTGAGAAACATCGGAGATAAGGCCTCGAGGATTATGAAGGAGATTGCTCAACTACGGTCCAAGGAAACGCCCTCGACAAGAGAGCTACCTAATTACGATGAGGAAAAGCGGAAGCCCCAAACAGGGCCGGTCCTATAACAACCAGAGTTTAATGCTCCACATCGTATTTCTTGGAGCTAAAGTAATTGATGAGCTAATTCTTGTTTTTCACAAAACCACTTTAATTTATATTTATATTTTATATCTTTATTTATAGCGCTATTTCTTTCTAACACATCCTTTTCTTTAACAATGGATTTTAAACCGAAAATAAGCAGATTCTATTTCTTAAAACATCGTATTTCTTGGAGTTAAATTAACTAATGAGCTAATTTTTTTCCACGAAACCGCTTTAATTTATGTTTATTTTTCATATCTTATTTTATAGCGTGCTATTTCTTTCTAACACATCCTGTTCTTTAAAAATGGATTTTTAACTAGAAATAAATAGATTCTATTTTTTAAGAATAAAGATTTTAAACCGAAAATAAACTGTATAATCTAACATTTATTAACTCCGAATTGCATGTAAAAAATTTCTAAGTTATATATTATAAAACTTTGATCTATTCGCGTCTGTTTCTCATTATTATAAGATTTAAAATATATTTGAATGTTTTAATTTTTCCTTTGGAAATTAAAGTGGAAATCCTAGGCTTACATTTTTGCCATCAAAAATCTATACATCGCGGCGGCCCTGGTGTGGTAAGTGATGATGAAGAGTAGTAAGAGGATAGTATCTTCCTCTCGATTAGGTGCCTCTGGAAAGACATAACATTCTAACGTTTTACCCTGTTCGCTCCTCCGAGTCTGCCGCCCTGTTAGTTAGAGCGATGGACGAAAAAGGAAGAGAATAAACGGGAGATAACGATGCCATTGCTAAAGTCGTAATGGACCACTCCTCAAGAACGGCGATTGTCTAAATGCTAAACTTTACGGCATACCCGCATGATCGCTGGAAACTTTACCCGCCCTTTTTTAAGGATCGAAGTGATACCGAGGTTAATACCGAGGTTATCCTTTTCAAGCGCAAAGCACAACGACGCTTGTAATTTATCTGTTCGGCAAAAAATCACAGGCAAAATTAACAAATCTTTATTTATAAGAAATATATAGACTTTGGATGGTTTATCTGTGTAAATAGATAGAAAATTAAAAAAAGATCATATAAATTTTAAAAAAATTTAAAAACAAAATAATATTTATAACACACGATAAAAAGCAAATATAAAAATATATTAAAATAAAATCCACGCTTATTTGAGTTCAAATATGTGCCAATTAAACATAGAAAACAAACTATAATAAATAAAATTAGAAATCATTAATTGTGCAATTTGCCATGAAACGAACTTTTCGAGATACTGTCTTTTCTGTTGCAGCTCTCTGCTATTGTCGATGGGATTTACGCTGAGCACGGACATACCGCAGGATCTTTCGCGCATTTAGCAAGCGATCGACTTCTCGTCGGCGGAGGCGCCGATGCGAGATCCTTGCAAGGCGCTAAAGGGATCAACAACTTCGTCGGATGTCTAAGAAAGGTTACTCGCGATAACATGATTTATTTATACTTTCCATTAACTTTCCACCGTCTCTTCTGCCTTAGACTTTAAATAAACTAATAAAAATTGCATAAAGCGTGATAGGGATCATTAATCTTTTTAATGTTAAATGTTTACAGAGATCCAAAAAAAGAAATCACAAATTCAATATTTTATAAGAAAATAGTATATAAAATACAAGGAAACTTGTGAAAATTTCAAATTAGCTTTAAAGACACATCAGTTTAAAAATAGATAACGTCAAACGATAGACTAGATAAGATAAAATAGTTATTCTGATTCTGTTTTTAAAAAGTATAAGTAATTACTCAGCAGAGAATAATAAGTAATTAGTGAATAAGATATAAAATGTATTTTATAGACAAAGTTTTTCGAGGAAACAAATAGATCTCAAAACTATATTTCCCTCTTTCCCCTTAGTTTGTTTTAAATACACTCTACTTCCACAAAACTTTAATTTGTGCTTCTTAAGTACAAAGATGTTCAAACTTGGAAGATTGTGTTAAGTGATGACCCTCGACATTTTCGCTGAGAAGAATTGACTACAAGTTCTGCAATTAATCTCTATCTATTAAAATTTAACTCGTTTATTGTGGCATTTCGTACAACAAATGGTTTATGTTTTTTCGTTTTGTTTCAGTATAGAAATAGCTTAAAATATGACTTATTAATTATTATATATTTGTCGTACACAAACGAATAATCCTCCGTATTTTTTTTCCTTTTTTTGCTATGTAAAATGATAATGGAAAATAAATTGCACCATTGTTCATTTTAATTATTTAATTGTCTTTTTTGTGCTATTTTTAGTCGAATCGGTTTCGGTTAGCAATTCGAACGATAATTATTCTCAAATTCTATTAATTGATTTGCCGATGGGGAATCGCGATGATAAATCTTTCACGAGAGATGATATCAGTGGAGAGAACGTGTGTAATGATCATAAATTTCCTCAGTACTTTCAAGGGTATATATGTCGTTTAAACATTTTATGCTGTAATAAATTTAATTAAAAAGATGGCTGTTAAATGTGGAAAGTAATGTAATATGATACACTTGTAAATAATGAGATTTGTTAACATTGCGCAGACAAAACAAATTTGGAAAAATGTTTGTTAATTCTTTAAAATTTGTTTACACACATATACGGTGTCTTTCTAAAATGTTTTAATTACAAAAATGTATACAATATAGCACAGGAAAACTACATATATAACTTTTATAATTTGTATTCAATTTCTTAACAAATTTGAAGTTGATTTTTCTGCATTAAAAATTTAGGAAACTTTCTATCCAAATTAAATTTTGTTGTAATCTTATTATATCAGTATTAACAAATATATGAACGTATCTAATATCTATCAATTCGTTAAATAGTATATGTATACATAAAGTTATTTTTTTTTTTTTTAACTAAATGCTACGATATTATTATCTTGGACCCTCGAAAATTCCGGAATTATTTCTTATCGATAGCAATGCTCACGGACTTTCTGGATCAATAAAAATGTCCACCCAACGCAACGAGGTGTCGACTTGGTCATCGCGACGCAATGAAATATTCATGTCAGCAACTTACTTGGGGAGTTTCGCCGAGAAGTGAAGTCGAACTAACACGCCATGGGCGGCGACAAAAAAAAACGCGAATAAAGCGATAAAACTCGACGCAATATAAAGCGCTTCCCGTAACCGAAAGGTTAACGACGACTGTAATTTGCTGACTGTTTGCGGCTTAAGTAGCGCGATGCGAATCGTCCCCGGTAAATTATTCTTACGAGTTTTATTTACGAGCATGCGTACGCTCGCGATATGTAAATTGTTCAGAATTTGATTCAATTTATAAGATTCTTAGCTTCCTACTGCAACTATATATTGAATTATGATTATTTTTAAAAACGAAATAATCAAAAAAGTTTTTTCTTACGTTATATATAAATTCTTTGAAATATTATACTTAAATTTAAGAGTATTTAATTTTAAACAAAGTTGTAGACTGGACACATGTAATTCCATAATTAATACAAAAATTTTTAATGAGGAACATGATAGGAATATACGAGAAAAATAAACATCCACATTTTTATTTAGAAAAAAGAATTTTTAACCAATTATTTCTTCAGTTCTCTTTTGTAACATTTAAATCACGATCCGTACATTAATTACCTCACAAAATTGTATAATATAAAGTTGTTAAAAAAATGATTTATCCACAACACATAGAAAATAATTTCTCTGTGAATTTGGATAAAATTATGTTGCATATACAATTTATAGATTTTAGAAATTAATGAATAATATAATAAAATGTTTTGCTAATGTATTTTAATATGTAAAAGAATGGCATTTAGTTACAGATTATTTCTCAAAAAAAACACAAAAAATTAATTATTTTTAATATTTCTTAAATAATACGTTATATCCTAACATAATACTTGCAACGAAAATGCTTTTGCGGAATTTTCTGTCTTGCTTCATGGCAATTAATGATATTACAAAAATCGTAACTTTAATTTCTCTTTCTGTTCCACTGTTTGCTACCGTGTGCACTAGCTGACATGACTCTGTTTACTGTGCTCGCAGGTGGAGTTTGCTGCAGAGGGAATCAAGATGGAATTGATCGAAGCGGCCAGAAGCGGAGCAGCGGGTGCTGCGGCTTGGGGAAAGATGGATTTTCACTGTCGTGAGCCAAGAGCCTCGGATCCGATCACGTTCACCACCAGGGATTCGCATCTCGTGAGTACATGTTCTTCTTATTCTTAAAATGCAGTGTTCTTTAAAAATGTTTATACGCACACTCGTTAATCATTTGTAAAAGAAAGAGCAAGATTGTTCACAAAAGATTATTCTTCTTATTTTAGACTGCATATAAACATCGTTCGAGAAAAAAATCGATCTTAACCCACTTTAAAATGTCATGCATTTCTACTAACAATATGTATTATTATTGGGTTTCACGATTTGATTTCCGAAATTCGCTTTTCTCTTTTTAGAATACATATACGATGATTTAATGAAATTGTGAAATTATAAAATATGCAGTCGGTTTTCATTACACACATTTGCGTGAATAAAACATGCTACAACTGTTTCAAATGAATCGTTTTTACTCGGGAGCGAGCGAAAACTTCGTAAAGGGCTATACTTGAATGCACGTGTTTGTTAAATAATGCAAGGAAAAGAAATACGATCCAGTTCCATTATCGAGTAAAGAATCGTGACGATGGAAATATCCGATTAAATTGGGAATGCACTAGGAGAAGTTTTTGCGCGAGTCAAGCAAGAGCTGCAAATAACTGTCCGAAGCAACGTCACAGTTCGTTTTCTAATCTCGCCTTTCGCGAATATTTCCGATTCTCGAAAAAAGTCGAGGTCAAGAAAACGCTTCGCCAATGTCCTTGTTCTAAATTGCTAGAGGTCTTCTTGATTTTTTTATATCGAGAGGCGCATTCAAACTTTTGCACGTGGCGCATGTACTCGATTGCCGATACGCAATTTGCTCCACGAAGGCACGTAAGTTTTCCGGAAAAAGAACGCCAAAGAGAAATATTAAACGGAAAATGCAATATACGAATAAATTAATTACTTATAAAAATACACATTTATTAAATTACAAGTTATCGAAGAATATAAACGCAGGAAAAAAAACATAATATGAAGTACTGTTTAGGTTTTACTTTGAAATCTCTGACGTACCGAAACCTCGGCATTTCGTTCTTTTCTACCTGTACATTGTTGTTGTGCAGCGATATTAATGTTATTAATGTTATTAATGCACCAACTATGATTTTCGAGCACATCCCTCGCCGATTGATATTTATATATATCCATGTTTTTTTAGAAACTCTAGAAATATATTTAAAGAGGATTTGATAATATAAGAACTTTTTAAACATTACTACATTATTGGACTTGAGGAAAATTCTATATGACATTGTAGTTTTAGAAATTCTCAAAAACTCTGTATTTTCTTTATTCGTCGTCACATTTGAAGATACTCACGTTCTCAACGCAGTATATGAACACGAGTGCGCTACCTTCGCACAGTGCGTACCCTCGTGTGCTTTTACAGGTCACGAAGCATCGTCGTTACCATTGCAAATCCTTGTTACATCGGTTATCATGCTGTCAAAGTACGCGTTCTCTGAAAGCGCGTTCGCCACCCTTACGGAAGCTTGTTTACGAGTATGACCGTTCTTGGATTATGCTGCTCGCTATCGTCGCGGTTTATGCAACCAGTGCATTAATACCCGCAATATCCATTTTGGTATATTGCCTGCCTCCTTGTCTGTCCAGATGATACAGAATGTCTCAAAGTCGCTTATTGCTTCAAATATCGACTATGCAACACGATGCAGAATCTCATGGATCACAAGTCGATAAATCGTAGATCTATATAATCGTAATCTGTCTACGAAAAGTTAAAAATCGTTAGAAGTCGCGTTTATTTTTCTCAATAATATTAATAATTAATTTAATAAGTAATCACTTATGATAAAAATGGCTTTCATAAAATTTTCCTAAAGAGAAGAACGACTCCAATTAAATCATTGAATTCTTAGTGAAAAGATTATTCGATTTTGGTTTTTGGACACCTTATATAAGCTTAAAGCCGCTATTCTATCGTGCAGCTTTTTATCATGCATAATATGCACACGATAATGAAGCCAGTGCACGTGATATTCTACAACTACTTTAGGTCACCGAGATTTTTAATTTAATAAGAATATTAAAAAGCTCCCACGAGGTTTTCTCATAGCTATTATATGAAAAAATATGATTTATATACCTATATATTGTATATATCACATTCAATATTCGCAAGAGCTACTTATAACGTAAAATATACCTTACCGTATAACCCCTGTAGAGTTAATAGATCACTGCTTTTGAGCTCGAATCTAATTAAATTTAATATCCGATAATTTAATATAAATGCAATTGCAGAGCCAACTTAATGTAGTAGATAATATCAAATAATATTTTCTCAGGTTAATAAACAAATTAATATATAATTAATTCAACAGAGGATTTACAATAAATAAAAAGGACTTATATATCCTAACGATACAACACTTTGTTATGTTAAAATATAGCTAAAATTATATATATTAAGTCGAACGAAAAATTTGTTCCGTTTTTTGCTAACAGATAAAGACCGAAAAAACGACACGAACCTTCCGTTCAACCCAATAGTTTTATATTACCATAAACGGTTACAATAACAGAATATCGTTTATCATAGCGATAACGTACTATTTAACTTTTGTAATCCACACCTATATGGCAACGTGATCGATATTACTTTCGACTGGCGTGAATAGTATGCATTAAACTCGTTATGATAGCGAGCAGATGGTCATTTAAAATGGACAATACACTCGTGTTCGAGATTCAGTTATAATTAATATCGATATCGGTATACGGGCGCAATTACCCAGTTATATCGTAAAGCTGCATTCGTACTCTCCATGTTGCGTTCGGTAACACAGCAAGAGAACATATGAATACGAATGCCGGTATTGTTGGCGCATTCATAATTAGATCAAAAGCTGTGATGCCTGCTGTGTTCAGATATCGGTATCTCGAGTTACTCCGAAATCAATGGGCATACGGGGATGTATTGTATATTTTCGTATATCTATATATATATATATATATATGTAATATTGCATTCGCGACGTTCCATATCGAGATTAAAGTGCCGTATATAGTTCCGAAAACGTATGCATCAGCAACGAAGACATATTTTCGAGGAAAGAAGAATTTTTCTTGACAAAAAATCACCTGATTTTTCTATCTTGAAATCTATCGGTTTTTACAACACGAAATATTGCATTTTGATAATTAAAAATCAAATAAAAATTTAACATTTGAATGTTTAAATATTTGATTCGTCAAAAAGATTCAATCACAGATAAATATTTCAAAATGTCATTCTATACCTTGAAATCAATAAAAATTTGTTTCATTAAATGCTCAAGTCTCGAAATGAATAGATCACTTTGTTGATCTATCATTTCGTAGATTCACGATACCACGTCTTTTACGTGATAAGGTCTTTGATTCTTCATGTGTCGTTTGCCTGTCGTATCCCTTTACTTTTAGAGCCCATAAGGTTTTAGAAATCGTTGAATTACATTTTATGTGCTATACTGGTACCGCGATCATTCGCAAACGAAAATCAGTATTGGAACATCATAACGACCACATAGTAGACTATTTTAAAGCAGTAATTAGAAGATGAGACGTTTGCGGGAAACTCCCCACAGATCGAAACGCTCCTTTGCTGAATGGCGCTAGTAGTCGGAGTAAACGTCAATGCGGACGTTACAGTGGTTGCGTTTTAATTATCGAGGACCGTCGCGACTTCGCTTCGATGACCATCGAAGTTTCTTATTAATAGAAAATTTCGTCTTATACTCTTAAAGAATTCTCATTACAAAAAAGTTAATTAATTAGAGTTAACTTGGAGTTAATTATTTCAATCCAAGTATACTTATATTTGTATAACCGATATCTTCGAACAATTTAAACTCTACTGATATTTTGTATTTTTTTATTGTATATTATTATAATATGATATTAAAAGCAAGAATATATAAACAAGAGAAAAATAAATAACTTAATATTTTTCTTGAAATTTAAACTCTTGAGGCTCAATGAATTATATTAACATATCAAATTTGTTTAAGGTTACGGATAATAAATAATAAAAAATATTATATGCGATAATGACAGCATCTCTTTAAAATAAATATTTTTTGATAACATTTTAAGACGTTATCTATTTTGTCCTGCTTTGCCTAATTGATTATATTATATTATTTTATATTGCATGATTATATATTTGATTTATATATATATACGAAAACTATAACAAGAAACTAATAACGCGCACCAATGCAATATCGAAATAGCTTTAAGTTGTATAAACTGTTATTTGCATGTTAATGTAACCGTGAAAGGGCTCGTCGTCATTTGTAGCTCAGCTATTCTAATTGAAACTCGTTACACTCGAAATTACTCCGCATCACATTGTATCCAACATTATCACATTATCATATTAATACTGTCATTTCGTTCCACTTGTCAAAAGCAAATTGTGTAAATTATTAGTAATTTAAAAAAACGATGTTTTATCAACTCTTGTGCAATTCATTCTCAATTATCATAAAATGGCTCAACTAAAATGTAACAACAGTTTCTCTCAGAGTTATTCTTATTTAATTACAATGGGTATAGCAACTTTAGACTTTTACTTTTATCAACTATTTATTAACAAGTTAATATTATGCAGCGTTTTACAATCTATACAAAATCCATGACTAAATCATCAATTATTAAAATTATCAGTAAATTTTCGCTATTTATTTGGTAAATTAAATAGATCATCTAGAATATCAATTTTTCTTTTTAATGTGACATTTTAAATATAATTTAAAATAATTTTTATATACAGCTACCACACAAAATTAAAGCTATATCTCACTCAACATTCTTAATTAATGACATCCTAAAAATTCGATAAGTTTGTCATTTTTTAAGAATATGTATTATTTTGAGAAAGTTAAGATTTGAAATATATACAAAATTAAAATGAGGTAGATATGTCTATAAATATGGAGCCTTGTCCCATTATATTATTGTACATTAACCTTTTTTATGTTGACGCATATAAATTTAATGATTTTTGTGCTTTGATAACGAAGATGCAAAAGCGTAAAGAGTATCTC